AGGTTCAAAAAAAACCCAACCAACCAAAAAAAAAAAAAAAGAGCTAGAGCTAAGGCCTTGTTTTGAAAGTGCCCTTAGAAATCTGAACTATCTGAACTGCTCTGTAGACAACATGACAAGACCTATAATCCTAATCTTTAATACATTTACCAACAAGAGCTAGGATACAAAATTTCACTCAGACTGCAGTAGAAAGGCAGAACTTGGGGAGTAGAATGCAAGATAAACTTCTCCAACTCTGCACCATGAAAAAATTTAAGATTTATTGCACTATACACAGTCGAAAGAACATGAGAAAGCAGATTAAAGACAGAATCACAGATATCCATAATAATTATTTTTAAAATCTCCTGCAAACCAGATAACTTGATAAACTGCACCTACAACATATAAAGACAAAATGAAAATCAAGTTTTATATAACTAAATACTATGTACTCCAGGTCCAACATGCAGCCATTGAGATGGCACAGCTGTGCTGAAACTTTGCCCTTTTTTTTTCCTTAATTCTGTCCACCACTTACAGAGTCACAGTCTTAACAGTTATATGCATCCATTGTCTTCTTGGATAATGATCAAATCTATTCAGATGTATTTGAAAGACACTCGACAGTTGGGTGCTTAGTAACATTAATCAGAACATCATTTTCTGCTTCAAGATCATCGTGGCAGATCCTATGCATTGAGCTTTTGCCTTCTGCATCCCACTCCTTACACAAGATATCACCCTGGGGGACTGCTACTACTGTTCTTTAAACAGCACGTGCCTGGGTTGGAGCACTCTACCTGGTAATACTGAGCTAACAAAAGTAAATGCAAACATTCGAGTTGGAAGAATCCACAGTGACAGAAACCCTGCAGATACAAGGAGAAATAAAAATTCCCTACTGTCACCACATGAACTGTGGAAAAGAGACTCCTATAAAAGGCAGTCCTATTTCTAGGAATGAGTATCAGTGTACTGAATACTGTGTCTATTTTAGGGCATGACAGAACAGATGTAACTTAGTTTATTGGAGAGGATTCTTCCCATATACATAATGGCAGCATTTCTTCCATTGGTTTTGAGGGGAACTGGAGAAGAAAAAGAAATTAAAAAGCAAGAGAATACAGGCTAGTCCAAAAATTAATAAAAAACAAAATTACATGCACACTCCTCTCCAAGACCATTTTCCTGGAGCAAAATCCCCTCTGAATTATGAAGACAGCTCTGTCAGGTACCATCAAAATTCTACTATAACCAAAATACCTAAGACAGGCTTCTGTGCCTTCCCACTCCCCATCTTACAAATGGCAGCTGGTGTGATAAAAGATACCGTGTCCTGCTGATAATAACTACAGAAAGTCTGGGACACTCAGAGATTTTTTCCCAAGCTGTGCTCCAAGCGAAAAAGATTCAGTGAAAACTGACAGTTATTTCAGAAAAAACTTTTAGAAATTCAGTCTTCAAGCACTGTTGCCCAAAGTGAAGCCAGATACAGTGAAATTCATCTCAGTATGCTGAAGCAATCTCAAACTGCTTCCCACCATGTTTGAAGCCTCATAAAAGTCAAAGAAGTTCTGGAAGAATCTCAGGCATTCCCTGTCAAACTGGGAGAAAGTAACTCATCTAAGCGGGTCAGTCCTGCATCTAACACTGCCCAATACTTAAATAACTCAGATAATACAACAAAGAAAACTTTTGTTAAATCTGCAACTTAGACAAAACCTGAAGAAAGTCTTACACAATACAAGACAGGATTATGATTCAAAATTATTTGGACAAATTGGAAAAATCACATGAAGTAAGCAAGAAAGATTTCATTAAAGAAGTGCAAAGTCACAGTGCTAAAGGGAGTAATCAACTGCAGAAATATCAGATCAGAAACAGAGTCAACTGGGTACACTGCAGTGCTGCAGAAAATAGTAAAACAGACTGCAAATAGTATCAAACTTAAGCAAACTCAAAAGGATGCAAAACAATAAGCGAAATACTTAACATGGAAGCTTATCTGGCTTGTTTGGGTGTTACATGACAAGAGAAAATTAGATCAATTTGACTGCAAAGGAAATGAGAGTTGGAAGACGAAATTTCAGTATCAGAGAGCTGATACTGGAAAATTTATCAGGGTAGTTGGTTTTACTCAGTCCAGAGACTAAGTGAAGACACATACATCATCGCCAACTTTGCAAGAAGTTGTCACTCTAACAAAATGTATTCTGTATACTTACTTTGGCTGGTTAAAGTATTAAACTGGAAAATTCAGAAACAGAGATTTAACTTATATGCTAGAAAAAGAAAAACAAACCTAACAATAGGTTTAAGCAAACATGGACAAAGATGTATGAAACCTGACATCAAAAATTTAAGACTGTATTTTGTGAAGGCAATAGCTTTCTAACTTGTTCAGCCATGGGACCAGTACAAATCAAACCTCAAATCTTACTAATATGTATTTTAACTGAAAAGGCAATTTAGTAGATATTGTAGCATACCACAGAGCATTTGGTTAGAAAAGCATGAGCAAGAATTGGTGTTGGTAGATAGTGACCCTGTCTAACGTAAGGGAATACACTATGTAAGCATTTCTCCAGACTATGTAAGTATTTCTCTACCTTTTAAATTTAAAGACCACCTGGCGTATTAATAAGGAACCCATAAATCACTATTTCCTGGTGCTTTTCAGAGGCGAGGGGACAATAAATAAAGTAATAACTCCTGTACATCACTTCTTAAAATGGCAGACACAGATTTAAAAAAAAGTAATCTGAAATGATGGAGCAGTGAACATGACTCATAACCAAAGCATTGCTGCGTGAACATTTTAAAGATTTTTCACTAATTTCTTATGGTTTCAATATCTAAGATAACAAACAAGAAAAAAACATGAAAAATAATTGCGTAAGCCAGTCTGCCTATCACAGACAAGTTTCTGGTAAGCTCCAGTCTCAAGAGTTATTGCTTTAAAAAAAAAAAAAAAAGAAAAGGATGCCCTAGTGCTTAGTCTGAAGGAGCCAACAAAAAGAGTTTAATTACATCTTCTTTTATAAAAGGTTTCTATTAACAATCTGCTAAGAATATGAATTTCTCATTTGTCACTGGCACTATGTCAAACTTGGTCAGTTTTCAAGTAGGCACATTTGTAGGTCATGTGGATATCCAAGAATCCAACACACTTTTAGCCTACAGATCAGCCCCCTAAGCAATGAGTACAGTTACCAGACTTGGTGATTTAAGCTCCCAGCATAATAAGAAAAATCACTGAATACTTCAGACACTAGAAAAATTACATTAAAATATCCTGCAACTGAAATTTAGGAGAGATTATTTCCACTTCATTAATTCAAACCATTCACTTTATCCTTTACTTGACATAAACTTACAGGCCTCCCAGTTACAATTTACCAGAAAGACTTTAAGGCAAGCAGCTTGGGCAGGAGCTAAGCAGCATCCTACAGTGACTGACTGTCATCTAATGTACATGTGGGGAAGAAAGAGAGGTCATCACTGTAAGATGACCTAGACAGAGCTAGGCACAGATTTCTACCAGATCAGACAGTAACAAATCTAATTATTCATTCTGTTTAACTATTTGGACTTAATCAAAGTAAAGGCTCCAAACTGAGTAAGACAGAAACAGACTTTGTACACGGCTGATGTCAATTCCCACAGTTCCAAATCTGGGTTGGGCTGCCTCCACTCTTCACACAAGCTTAGCTAAAAAGCTTTTACAGTGTACTGCCCAAGTTCATGAGTTTCAGGTTCCAACGAACAATGAAAACAGGAAGCTATCTGTAATACTTCTATAGGTATCCCATAAATCCCAACTTCAGCTGTAACTGACTTACCTTTCCTGCAATTTGAAAGTACTAAGTTTTGTTAATGAAGACTAGCTAAGGGACTATAATCCTAACCAACCTCACAGTCACTACAAGACTTCATTTTCTTGTCAGTAAAAGTGGCCCGTGAGCCACAAGAGAGTGACAGATGAAATGAAAAATAGAACTGCTGAAGAAAAAAAAATAATAAAATATAAACTGGCTAAACATAGTCCATAGTTAAAAAAAAAAACTACACCAGGAAAGACAAGAGAGATTATTCAAAGTAAAGAGTGTGGAACAAACACACATGGTTGAGGTCTAAATTGATACTCTGCTCTTCTAACAGTTCTTGAAAAAAAATTTATCAACTTTCCAAGTAACTTAGACACAGATTTAAAACGGCTGTGCTAAAAAGAAAGAAAAAAAACCCCAAAACACTATAAAAACCAACAAACCTCTCACACACAGCAGAAGAAACAGGGATGATGGTACAGTGCTATTCTATATACAAAACATTAATTCCTTCCTACACAGGATCTTCTGAAAGTGAACATAAATTTGAAAAGAGTGGACTTCATTTTATTAGTATTTTCATCTATTCAAAAACTAGAAATTTTTGATTTGAAGAAAAAAAGTGGAATTCAAATGATGTATCAGTTTTACTCCAGCAATACAAGGCATGGACTGGAATAAAGCTCAAACTTTACAAGGAATAATAATTTAATGCTATATAAACTATGCCTATTTTTACTCACCAGTTTTAAATCAAGTCCATAATACCCTTTTTCTGAACTTTACATAAAAACTGAGCTAAAACTAAAATTTTTAAGGAGAACAGTAACTTTTGCCTCATTTTCTCCCTCTTCCTGAGCTGATAGGGACACGTTGTTTCAGCAGTTCTTAACACACAGAGCTCACTAGCTCAGCATTAAAAAAAAAATTTGACAGGTCTCAAAGAACTGCAGGAACTTCATTTGACAAGAGGTGAGAGAATGTCAATGCTGGCAGAGAACCCCCTTAAATTATCTGTACCAAGGGGACATTAAGAAGAGATTAAATGAAAGAAGATGAGAAAGAGAAATCAGTGAAAGAAATCAATAATGAGTTTACTAAACAATTGCCAATGAGAATATTGTAGCACTGAAAACATTTGGAAGACTTCACTGACTGCAGATATTTTCTCATTTTTCTTCTACTTACCTAGACCTTTTTGTCCGGGATTTTTAGCAAAGTTAAAAGTAAACTGATAAAAATCTTTGAACTTTGCTGGATCCTTTAGCTCTTGTTCCAACCTTGGCAATAGAGCTTTTAGCTTTTCTGTGGTGTCACACCTGTTCAAAAGAGATTACATTATTTACATATATTTAAAATTTCTTCCTACTTTCCCCCCACCTTTTTATGGTTTTGTTTAAGAGCAAAACAAAACAGTGGTTAAGACAAAAGATATTATCTTTGTGGATAGCATTCTGAAAAACATAAATGCTCATGTGCCTTTACTAAAGAATTTTAAGTGGAACATTATGTACAGGCATCCATTAAGTACACAATGCAAACAGGATTTAGTGGTTTAACTTATTTTCTATCTCTTGATGAATTTCTGAGCAGATGCTATTCTATTCTTAAAGAACACCCAACCCTCACTGAACTCTGTTACTCCTTCCCCTGAGACAGATGTTGTAACACAAGTGTGTGGTTTTGCTTTAATCTAGATAGACATTGCTTATTCCCTGCTCTCCTGAATAAAGAGCTTCACACTATGTTTTTCACAGTTCATCTTAACATTTGAGGACTTTCCAGCTAAATGAAGTATTATTTGCAGTCATTCTCTCTCCATCATAGAACACTTGAGAATAAACTAAGGAACAAAATAAGCCTTGAATGATAGCCTGAGGACTGGCAAACTATTTAACAGCTCGGCTAAGACAGAATCCAGTTACTAAAATTCTAACAGAAACACATCTGTGAATACCACCACCAAAGCATTTTCAGTGAAAACACCTAAGCTGACAAATGAATATTCAAGGTTTACAAGAACTTTATCAATATCTTGAATTGTACCTAGAAACTCAACATGAAGCAGATTTCAAAAGCATCTAACACTGTGTATTTGAAAGTCCTCCTTAGTTAAACGTTTGTATTAATTCTAAAGATTCAAGAAAAATTCTATTAAAGGATGAGTAACTATAACACGATCCATAAAACATAAAATGCAGTTTTAACTGTCTTGCACAGATAAAAATAAGTACCTTTCTGGCCTCCAGCAGTGCCTGGAGGAAAAAAGAAAGAATTCTGCCAATAGTCTTCAACTGAGAAGCTCAGTTTGGGAGCTTCTCCTAGGAACTTGATCTAGACAATAAATATAACTTCTCATATGCATCCTAAAGATGCTGTGTGATCTAAGCCTCGGGGAATGTCTTTCCATCTGACTGCTCACTTGTCTCCACTGCTAAAAACCACAGACACTGTACCTCCAAGTACATAACAAAATCATTCCAAATTCTCAGTAAGTGCTGTGGCAAGTGGGCACAGTCATATTATGCTCCTAAGAACAGCTGTTGTTCCAAGAACAGGTGGTTTAGCAAAAGATCTTTAATCACTTTTATGGGAAAAAAAATGCTGGCAACCTTTAACATAATAACATGAGCACTTAATTTCTATCCATGATTAGAAAATCATAATTATTCTTGTAATTTCTACTCAAAGTTACCCCATAGGACAAAATAAAGCAGTGAACTTCAGATGGTATCAGAAGTTATTTCATCAGAATTTCCTAAAAAAGAAAGCTTAAAAAGAAATCAATAACTGATGAGGTCAGTAACATCAGACTGCTACAATCTCTGCTCAAAAAGCAACCACCACATTTACTAAAAGTTGATCTGTCTTAGAAATATATTGATTAAGGTGCCATTCTAAGATCAAATGAAATTGCTTAGCTACAAAAAAACAGGAACAAGTAATAAACTGTACTTATCCACCCATTTAATGCAATCTGTTAAAAAGAGTCATTTGACATCTCTAAATACTAGAAATGCTGCTCCTCTTGCAACGAAAAAGTTATACACAAAATATTTTATGATGATATATGCTTGACTTTACTGGTAAGCAGAGACAATGTTCAAAGTTTATTATCCAGAACAGCGCCATAACCCAGAAAGGAATTTTTTATCAGTTAAATCACAGTTGGACCAATCTTTTCTATTACCAATATCCTCATTTTTATTTCAATTCCCCATGGATATTTTGTACAAATGAAGTATCTAGTATGAAAGAGAGGAAAGTATGGGTGGTAAAATGACAAAAAGAAAGATGGGTCCATTTGCTGGTAGCAAGGTAAAGGGAAAGAACTGAAGGCTCTTTTCTGTTTTCTTACCTCCTTTCTGGTTCAACACTGACATTTTTTACCTTTCATACACCTCCAGTGACTTTCAGTTTTTAACAACAGGAGGTCCAACTCAAATCCTTAACACAAATATGCATATCCTTACTATGAACTACATAAAAAGATACATGAATTATCTGACTCCCTTGCTGTACAGGTAGAAATTGTTTTGCTTCCCCCCTACTGTGGTCATTAAGGCTTTGCAGTAAAGCACCAATTCAAGGAAGACAAGACACTACAGGCATTTTGCACCTGCTAAGCTTGGCACTAGCCTCACAGCTTTTTGAAGTTTCCCACAATTTAAGTGAAAATGTTTTGAACAGAAACACGGTTCAGGCCTTACTTTATAAACTGTGCAGAAATGGATACTTACCCCAACTCTGTCATGCCATCAATAAATTCCTTTTTACTGAATTCACACTGCGTAGCTGCCCTGAATTTCCACGCCACAACCAGAACACTGATACTGGCTGGGTCCAGGCTTAAATCATCACAGAACTGCTGAATCCCATCAATGCCAATTTTATTTTCATCTTGTGGGTCTGCAGTTCAAAATACAAATACGGGAACTAAAATTATTTACAAAACATATTAACAAATAATCATCTGACAGCTCTGATGTGCTGCATCATACAGGTAATAATTTTTTCATAACCTTCACAAATGTTTTCACTTGAAGTCTAGGTATTTTTAAAAGAGAATCAGTAAACAGATTAAGTATTCTAAACTTACAGAAAACTGGTTTGCAACTTTTTCTGGTTTGCAACCTTTGCAGTCTTCTGTCAAATCTTGTGAAAGTTTTTAATGTTTACACCTACAGTGTTTAAGTGCCAGAACTGCAAAGGTGTGCTGGTAACTAAAACACTGACATAAACTGGCTAGACTTGCTGCCACAAAAGTCAGATGGTGCAGTTTGCTACTGCTAGAAATTTATAAATAACAAATAACATTCATGATAATCTTCTTCCATTTTACATAGTCTTAACAGCATTTATGAACTTGAATATATTTTTAACCCAGCAATTTCCAAGACTGAAATTCAAGGAGCAAACAAAAGATTCAGAGGTATGTATATGCTATATATACAGACATATATATGTAAACATACACATAGGCATATATAAACCAAAACACGATTCTCTGAGTTTTGTCTCTGAGTGTTTGTATTCACAAAGAAACACTATAGCATTGCTGCCTCTTTGTCCCTACATAATTTATTACCACATAATAATGAAGTACTAAAGAATTCCTAGACTTAAATTAGAACAGATTACGTAAAGAAGAACAAAAATGTTGGAAACAGTAACATAAAAAAAGGATGAAGTGTACACAAAGCATGCCATATATTTCAATTAGAAAAGTACATAAAATCATAGTTGAGTAGTGGTTAGCAGTTCATGTTTTCAAACATGAGATGTATGGATTCCACCAGGAGCTAGCAATGATTCCAGCCTGCACTGCTCCAACATGAACAATGCACACCCATGTCAGATGGCTCCAGCTCAGCAAGCACTATCACTTGGATTATTTTCTTGTATTTAAATCCCTACTTTTTTGCTGTTGCTCTTTTTAACAATGACGTAAAATGAAACTTGGAAAAGAAACAACTCTGCCTTTAATCCACTTTCCTGTGGGCTTTTCCTCCAAACCTCTCTGAAAAGGCATATCACTTTTGCTGTAATTTGCCAGCATGAAGGAATTAAATAAGGATGCAGCTTCTAGTACCTTTTCCAGATAAGAAAAATAGTTTTCTTATCTGTTTTGTCACACTCCTATCTGTAATGTTATCTGAAACATTTTTTATTTCAATGTATAGAAATATTACTGTCTCTGAACAGAATGAATTCCCCCAGATATTAGCATAAGAACAATATGCATTATTCTGCCATGGAAAGACCATCATACACATTCAAGAGCAGCTATTGACAAAAAAAATCACATAAGTTGCATAATAAACTTTGCTACCGTATTTGACAGCTGGCACTTTTTCCTCACTGGAAGTTTAATTTCCTATTTTTAAAGTCTACAGAAATCTCTACAAAAGTTGTATACAGATCCTTAAGAGCATTTAAAACCTTTTTTCATGCTTATCTTATTACTGTAAACACACAGTGAGAAGCAAAAGCTAGCAAGCTATACTTAAAACTCCTTAGTAGAAGTGAAATGGTAGAAGTAGAAGAAATGGTAGAAGGAAAAGCAGAAAAACTTCTCAAGCAACATAATTTAGAAAAAACCAAAACAAAATCCACAACAACAACCCCAAACCGACCAACCAAAAACTGCCCAGAAAACGAAACCTTACCTTTGTATCGATTATATAATTGTTCTAATTTCTTCTTGTCCACTGAATTTTTCATGGATTCTTTGTAGTACAAGTCTGGATTCTGGAAGTAGTTGTCTGTTGCCACTTCTAGTTTCCATTCATTCTGTGTTAAGCAGTATATAGCAGTCCTTTCACCAGCCTGGGTAAATGCCATAAACTGGCGGACCTTGTCCTTCTGGGACGATTTAAGTTTATGCTTTGGGATGCAAAAGAAGCAGGAAAGCCAATGAAGCTAATCCAGAAGTTTGTTTCAGCATTCTAGTACTAATGCCTATCTTTTAAAGGTTTTAGTTTTCTTGTTGATGACAACTTTCACTTCAGAATTACAGGAAGACAAAGCCTTGTTCTTCTGCAGTTAAATAGACAGCATTTTCTTCTGAAAATTGAAATGACAGCATCTATACATATATTTTTAGCAGCACATATTCTGTCAGTAACGAACTTGTATTTCTGCTTTATTGCTCACATATGCTGATGTTTTTTCTGTTCTGTAACAGCAGTAAACACAAGTTTCGTCATATTACAATATGGTTATCTTCTGAAAGATATGCCTAGTGGTTATAAAAAAGAGACATTAAAAAGGTGCAACTTACAGATTCTCAAATTCTGTGTAAGTCCATACATGGAGAAAAAAATCCAAGAGTTTTCCTAATATTTTCTTAGCAACAATTAACAATGCAAAGTTTAATCAGTCATCCGCTGAAAAAGGCAGAAGCATTTCTCATATAATTATGTTATAAAACACTGCCAACAGAAGACATAAGGCAAAAATAAAATAGATGAAGTGGACATATTGGAGACTGCTGAATGTTACAATGAAACTATAAGATTGCTGTAAATGTGTAATTTTACTTTGAAAAATATGTTTATACTACTACCCACTAAACAACAAAAAAGCCTGTTGCAGTGGTCTACAAGAATTAATATGATGCTTCTCTCAATTAAAGCAACCACATGGAGACAATACCCCTAAACTTCTGGAACACCCAAGAGGTAGAAATGGGTATTTCACAGGGAGAAAATTTGCTAGTAACATATTTCAACATTATTCTTTACATGAAGTTGGAAGCAGAAGGAGACAGCTTAAGTCAAACTCTGTTTTTTATCATATTCTGTGCCTTCCAATTTTGTTAAACCATACGTCACACATGTTCTGGGCCAACAACTAAGCTAAGAAATTTGTATAAATTCCCCACTACAGCTCAAATCATCAGGCATAATGGAAAATTTACAGGTCTCTTAAAAGAGAAGTGAATCCTGATCCAGTGAGCAGTAAACATGGAACCATCTTTCAGCTCACTTTTTATCTCTTGTACCCATATGGACATCTTGACTATAGATGGTCCCGAGACAAGAAACACATCATGTAAACAAGATAAGAATTTTGGTCCTTCATACAGGATTTTTCAATTTAATGTAAGAAGAAACATGCTGGGTTTCTTTTTACACAAGAAATGTTTACAGTGGGAAGAAAAACGTGCAAAATATAACTACTACATACTTTGGTAAATAACTAACTAGTAATCCTTTAGCTTCAAGCTCCAGCCCGCCTCCAAATTTTCAAGAAGGTCTAGCCAAGGGAGTCTCTGCACCTAGATCTTCCTCAGTTACATAAACTTATTCTGGGCAACAAACTTAGCGATAACCACTTTAAAACAGAGGACTCTGCCAACAACGCCAAAGCAAACCCCACGTCCTCCTTCAACCCTAGTTAACGCCAGGCGTTTACGGATATTTTCTAGCTTCACGTCTAGCGAAATGAATTATTTGAAGCGATCAGAAACACACACGTCTCTCCAGCCCACTGCCCTGCCACGTAGCACGGTTCCCACCCGCGGCCGGTGCCCTGCGGCGGGAGCGGCACCGCGCACCTCCCCGGCACCGGGGCGGCTCTGGAGCTCCTGGCCCCAGCACGGCCCTCACTGATGGCACCGAGCAGGGATGCGCACCTCGCATCCAGGCACAGCTCAGCCGCGCTTCTGGAGCCCTCTCCCAGCGCTAATGACACCGCACACCCCAGGGAAGCGCTGAAGGTGCTGCCGCAGAGGCACCAGGAGAGCCCTTCCTTCCCAAAAGAGCCCATCCGACCCCACCACCCCGACCCAGCAAGGGAATTTGTACCGCACCTTTCCCACCGCCTCCGGCTGCACCTGCCGCGTCCCGCGGCGGGGAAGGGGCCGGCGGGAGCGCGGGACTCGCCGCTGCGGTGACCTGCCCCGCCAGCCCCAATCCCAAAAAAGGGAAAGGTACGCGCTGCGCCGGCTGTCCGCGCTCGAAATACCCGCGGCGGGGCCCGGCCCCCTCCCTTCCCCCGCGCCCCCGGTGACCTTCCCCGCTCCCGGCCCAGCGGAGGAGGCGGCGGGAGCGCGACCCCGCACGGGGGGTGCGCGTCCCCCGTCCCCGCGCCGCTCGTCCCCCTCGCCTGGCGCCTCCCCGGGCAGGGTAACGGGACTCGGCGCGGCGGGAGGCGCAGGGGCGCTCAGCTCGCCAGCCCGGGGGATGCCCGGGGGCTGTTCGAAGCTTCCCCTCCATGGTTTCACCGCCTCCCCTCCCCCCCGAGCTCGCAGAACCTACCATTTTATCACCGGCGCTCCCACCAACTTCACCGCCCGGCGCCGCCTCCCGCGCAGGCGCGCACCGGCCCGCCCGCGCCGCCTCCCGCCGGGGAGCGCTCCGGGCACGGGCCGCAGAGGCGGAGCGCGGGGTCGCGGTGCGGAGCCCGCAGCGCCGGCGGGGGGAGCGGCGGCGGCCGCGGCGGCGCTGGGGCAGCTGCGGGGCCGCGGCTCCGACTACAACTCCCGGCGTGCGCCGAGGAGCCGCGGTGACGTTTCCCGCCGCGAGGCGGCGCTCGGAGCGCGGGTCCCGCCCAGCTGCGCTCCGAGGCGCCGCCCCGGCGCTCGGCACCGGCGCGGGGCGAGGGGCGGCCGCAAGGACGGGGCTCCCCGATGCCCTCCGCCAGCGGCCGCCGCCCACTGACACCAGCGCTCGCCGCCCGGCGATCCCGCCCTGCCCGCCCCGCCGCTGCGGGCCTTCCTCCGTCCCTCAGGTGAGCGTCGCTGTGGGAGCGCCGGCCGCTTCTTTTCCCCCGTCCCTCCGCCGCCATGAGGGAAAAGAAGCCGGGCCGGTCTCCCCCGCGCCCCACTTACCTCCCTCTGTTCTCGCCTTGTGCCCCGCCGTCCGCCCGGCCTGCCGCGGGGAGCGGCACCGGGAGCGGCCATCGCGCTCAGGTGCGAGCGCGCCGGGCGGGCACGGCCCCGGCTGGCCTGCGGCTCCCGGAGCAGCTGGGACCGGCAAATTGCGAGTGGAGGCGAACCCACGGTCGTGGAAGGACTTGCAAGAGGGGTCTGGAGGCAGGGCCCGGTATTATCCGCTTGATGAAATCTGGTGCTACAGTGTCGTGTTCAGGACGGAAAAGGGAGAAGATGAGCTGCAATCCAGCAGGAAGCAAACGCTGCTTAAATAAGGACTCTCCGATTTGATAGTTACTGGTGGTGAATGGAGAGGAGTGATAGTGTTTTTGCCTTGGTTTAGTTTTTTTGTGTTTTTTTTTTTATTTTTTTTATTTTATTTTTGTGTGTGTTCAGTATCACATTATTTATTTTGGTGCATGAGATCTTTATTCCCTTGCAGGCTTTTGAGCACTGCCCTAGGTGTAACTCTTCTAAACAGTTTTTGCTAGCCAAGCAAAAAAGCACTGAAACAGAACTGTCCCATGTGTGAACCACAGTGCTAAGTTTGCACTTTGCTGTTGTAAATCTCTGCTCAAAATTTAGTTATGTGGTTTGATGTACCATGTAAGACATTCAGTAGAGTCTTTTACTCACCTTGGATGAGTAAAACACTAGCTGTTTTCTTCTTCCTCTTTCTTGCAGAAATAGATTGTAATATATATTTAGCAAAATCTCTGCCCCAAGCCTACTAAAGAGGAAGAGCATTACTTTGCATATATGAAGAAATATTTCCTTACATTTCCTTCTAGAACTTTGCCGGGTGGTGAGGATTGTTATTTTCCTGGTTTCTTAAAAGTAGTAAGACCCACAGCTTTATCAAAGTTCCAAAATGCTTGTACTTTGTTATTTTATTGACATTATACTGATGTGATATGCTTTCAGGTTGCTCAGAGCTCATTCTGTGTATCAATGATGGCTGGCTTGGGTATCTGGGACTGTGACTGCTGCTGCCTTGGAGGAAAATGAGATTCTCTATTAGGCAGGCTGTTTCCAGATGACTGTGTCCATGTGTTGGTTCCTGATTAAGGATGCTGGCCCAATGATCAAGACTAACTAAATTTTTCAGGAAATACTTGCTGTATTCATGATCTGTTAACGTGTTGGATGTGATGTGAGTTTTTAGAGTGCCAAGTACACGATTTTATATATTGGTATGTGTAACTGTGCTGTGAGGGTTTTTATCTTTGTTTGGATTCTTTTAAAAGAAAATATAACTGTTATTTTGTGCAATAATGTCAGTAGTTCCTTCTAGGTTCTGAGGGAAGGACATTAGTTTTTAAATTCTGTCCTGCTTGGTGTTAAAATTAAATATAGCAGTTTGAGTATAGATTTTCAAATAGTTGCTGGGAAATTAACTTATGAATTAATTGAGTTTGTGTTATTGTAATGTCCTTTAAAATATTGAAGATCCCTAATAGGTTTTGAAGTAAAGTGCCTCAGGGCCCTGCAGCCTTTCTGGTGAAGGAGGTATTTGATCCAAACTAGTAGCAGTCAGAAGTTCAGAAAGTTTTGCTGTTCTTTCTTCCACAATTATGATTTATAATGTAATCTGATTCCATTAAGTTTTTTTCATTGTTATGTTTTGTTGAATGTGTGTAGTTGAGTTTGTTAATACTTCTGAGACTTTCTAAATAACAAACGATTATGATACAATGTTTTAGGATAGGTTTTAGAAGAGACAGGAGATTTACTGACAGCTAAGAATAGTGAGTTCTAGTGTTGAAATGCAGCTTATGACATCATGGCCTGATATTTTTAAAGGCCTTTCTTTCATATAAGAAGTGCAGATGAGTACCGTGTGAAGTGACTAAGCTTTCCAGTCACTGCTTTTAAAATAAAATGTTATCTAGGAAATAGTCAAGGGGAAAACAAACATCTGTCAGAAACCTTGGACTATTTCTTGGCTTTCATAAATTTTGAGTGAAGAAGACTATATGTGTTCTGTTAAAGCTTGTGGTGCTGGGGCAGTCTTGGATTTATTTTCTACATTTGTGTGATCTAATGGCCCAACATGACCATGTTTGATAACTGATTGGTACTATCTTGCAGCCTGGTGTGCATACTGGAGATGCAGAAACCATGTAGCAGAAAGCTTTGAGCAGCTGTGGATTACCAGTTTCTCCCAAGAGGAATAAAAAGTGAAGGATGAAGGCGACTGGATTTATTTCCCTGTGGACGTTGGTTTCGCTGCCTTGTGGCCCGTTAGCAAACCCTGCAGAACGTGAAGATGTGGTGAAGCATGCAATAAAGCTGCACCGTGGGAAAGGAGCTGTTATCACTCAGAGGAAGCAGTGGGTGTCGGAGAGCTGCAGAAAACTGTCTGGTCTTCTTCGCCAAAAGAACATTGTTCTCAACAAATTAAAAAATGCCATAAGAGCAGTTGAGAAGGATGCAGGACTGTCTGATGAAGAGAAGCTTTTTCAGGTGCACACCTTTGAAATTTTCCAAAAGGAGCTAAATGAAAGTGAAAACTCAGTCTTTCAGGCAATCCATGGCCTCCAGAGAGCTCTACAGGGTGATTACAAAGATGTTGTAAATATGAAAGAAAGCAGTAGACAGAGACTGGAGGCCTTGAGAGAAGCTGCAATTAAGGTTGGTTTCCCCATGTTTGTTGCTAAAGTATTCATATTGGACTTGTGATTTTAACATTTTTTATGGCACAGTTTCAGTCTGTTTTAATAAAAAAAGATATCTACATAAAACTTGCAGTGTTTGCTGTTTAATGGAGTATTTGTTTTCATTAGTAAATTTACAAGTAATTCTGGTGTAGAGCTTAAAACTTATTAAAGTCAATAGTTCTTATCTCAAAGCTAAGTGTAATCATAAGACCTTTGGCGAATATAATGTTAAAAGGAGAGGAATACGAAGGGTGAAATCAGTGCACATAGTACAGTTGCACTAGACAAGCCAGTGTTACTAGCTGAATGGAAATAATGCCATCAAATGGTGAAATACTGTTTTTTCCATTTTAAATGAGAATTGCTCAAAGTCCACAGCTAAAACAGAATGGTTCGCTGCCTTTAATTTCCATGTTTGTATAGATATGAATAAAATGGACATGCAAAACTGTAGGTGACTTCATTTTAAACTCAGTATTGCACTCCTAGCCTAAGAAGTGCAGGTTTGAAATGCAGTGCTTCCAAGAAAGAGTCAGCTGAAATAACTTTGCCAAGAAAAAACACAGATACCTAATGGAAAGTTTGAGTTCCCATGTCTCATTAGGTTGACCACAGTCTGCCACTGTCTTTTGGACTTGGTAGTGCTCAGACTGTGTACTGAAAGTCTCCCATTGAGAGAAAATGTAATTTAATGTATTTGGTATTTAAATTGCTCTTTTCCTTTCTCTACCCTCAGCCACTGGAGAAATATATTAAGAATTTTCTTTGTTTTCTGTCTTCCAAAAGAAGAGGCTGCTCTTGCACAAGGGAGCAAGAGAAGGAACAAAAATGTAATTGACATTTAGCATTTGAGTTGTGAGAGTCTCTGAAGGGCATTTGTGCCGAGAAATGTGCAGAACCTTGACAGGTGAAGTTGGAAAGAAATTACGTGTGGTAAAGGTGTCCAGTAAATCGTGCCAAGATAGGCTGGTGGAAGTAGAAATTAGGATGTAAACGTGGCAGACTGGAGTGATTCTGTGCAGTGGAAATGGAGTCTGAATTACAACAAATTTGAATAGGGAATAATTTGGATCTAGATGTATTCCAATGAACTGCTTTATATGACTTGTATATTGATAATTTATGGTAGTGGCAGCCTCTGCTGCATAGAAATGGCATAGAAATTGTCATGGGCTTTGCTTGATTTTCCACCTTTTTTCTTCCT